TGTCTGTTTTATACAATAACGACAATGTTTGTCATATGTTTTATATATTTTTACTAAATTTGTAATGAAACAACTTGAATACATGAGAGAAAGTTATGACAATTCTCTTTACAATGGTATATAACACTTAATTATTGCATCAGGAATGACTTATTTATTCAACTTCAAAACAGTATCAGATATTTTGGATCACCCTATATGTTTGGGATTTCATATTTTCATCAAACACATTCTATGATATTGTTCATGTAAATAGTTTTCACTACCAACACTCATAGTGTGATTTCGCAACATCAAAATTAAGAATAATGTCAATGCCTAATAAAGTACAACCTATTTTCTCTACTAGTAGATGATTTGCCAGTTCCCTTTATTCACTCAAAGTGATAGTGCTTTTAAAGAATTGTCTTAATAACTATTAGCACCAATTGCAAGGATTGGTTTGTCGCAATTTGTCACGATTGTTTTAAATATATAATTAATGAAGATAAATCGGTTGGTCATCTAAATTGATGTTGTTTAGGCCGGATAAAGTTTAACAAAAAAGAGACAAATGTTTACAATATCAACCACGAGTAGGGTATTTATGCATCTTTGTTTAACTATCCATGACAGAATGTTTCGTATCAGTATCGCATCGAAAGTAAATGTCGATTTAGAAATAACTACTACACACAATATTGACACTATGCCCAGGATCTATAATAATAGTAGCGTAACTATACTTATGAGTTTTCTGTTTTGAATCAAGCTTCTTCAATGTCATATGATTTTAAAAAAATGTTTCAACTTTCTAGATTGAATCGCAAAGACAGTCTTAATAAATTCACACTCTCGGTCGGAATTTCAGCAATTTAGATTTGTTTAATGAATTAATACAAACAATTTAAAAACATTCAGTGAGAAAGATATTGAACAAATGTACATCTATGATTAAAGAACAATGTTAGCCCTAGTTGATTTTTGTATCAATTTCAGTGTTGTGTAACGAATAAAACTGTAAGAGCAGTGTTTATAAAACTAATCAATCATCTGAAAATAAGGTTAAAAGGGATAATATTGCTGTTCTGGAACATCAAAATGCGTTCCACTTTCTATGTGTACAATCAATAGTGCATGAATGGAGAAATGAGTAAACCTAGTTTTTTTTTCTAGTACGGTTTCAGTAAATATCAAGGTCATTACGCATCTAGTCTAGAAGTAAATGAATAAAAACACCCATAAATAATCGCAGTCAGCAATCCAAAATTTGCAAGTGTCTACAATGGTCTAGGTTTGTTCAGTTAACATGAAATATAAAAGATGAAATTATAACATTAGTTTGAACTGAAATTATGTCTTATAATGTTAGCGTATTAATAGTGACAACACTGTACTTTTTGCAAACACAAGAGAAATGAAAAATACAGAATATGTTTTAAACTTGTGAATTGATGTCCAGTTGAGTCCTCTGATAAGTTTTAAATGTTAAGTTCCTCTTGACATATTCTGTTTTCACCTATTCAAATATTTTAACTTATCAAATATGGGTCACTGCGAAACAAGGGCATTCCAAATTGCCGTCACTATGTCAAACCCGGTTGCTGTCTCATTTATCTACTTAATAATACTATTATGTCTGATGCGCAGGGCATGCATCTAATTAACAAACAAATGTTTTATCAACATTTTAACGGTTAAACAAAACTGACTTTTTGACTGAGTATGTTGCTTTACAGATATGGGGAATTTATTTATGATAATTTTATAAACAGCCACGCGAGGAATAACAAACTATCACATTGTGTTTAATGGCCATACCATACTGTAAGGTATGGCCTCTATTTATTGTTTTAACCAACAATACTTAAACATGTGCAAAGAATAGTACAAACATCAATATTATGCAAATTAATACAATATAGAAAATACACATGTAGGAATAATAATTAATCGAATTCTACTATAATAGTAAGAAATGTGAGGGTTTATAGCTTATATCTAAAAAGCCTACTGTCTTAATCTTTTCAACGTAAAGGGGTTCTGTAATGTCCAATATATCAACATGACATTTGCAATACTTGTTTTACATGACAAGACACTATTGTGAAACAAAGAGTTTATTCTGTAAATTACATTAATTTTTCTATTTATGTCCCTTAACTTTTCTTGCCAAATTCCTTAATTAATAGGACGATTTAAAAACTACCAAAGTTACCGAAATGACACTTTGTATTCGTCTTAAAGACTGTTTTGGCCGGTTTTGTGTGTGTATCTAAAGTTAAAAATCTAACATTATGAGTTCACAAGTGGGTCAATGTTCAACGGGTCATATCGTTCTTCTCATCATGATGATTGTCTGCTGTCTAAGTAACTGCATTATGTATTTAAAGCAATACTTTAAGTTACAATAATTAACATTTATGTCAATTAACATAATTAATGTCATTTAAATATTTTATACAAGAAAGATAGATATCATATTTTAGTATTGAGTAAAATAACGTTGCCAAATGATAAATGTTTATAAGACCTGTCCGCGGAGAGTGCTCTCTATTTTTCTCCGTGCTGGAGAGTTGGATTAAAGCAACGCAGAAATGGCAACATAATTCTGCAAACATGCAAAGCAGGCGTACCTGCCCTTGTTAGTCAAAAAATATTTCAAGTTTAAATTTAATATCTTTGATGGCTTTATAGAAAAGGGCACATGTTATTAGTCATAAAAGAGAAATAATAAAACAAAAAATACTTAAAGGTTTTCTTCCCCTTTAAATTTGATAATGAACAAGAATTCCAAGATCAAAATGGATATCTGTGATATTTCTTGTGAAATATTCCTTTAGTTAACAAAAAAGACTGAAAAAATATTCATTAAAAAGCTATTGTCCTTTTGCAGTAGAGGAATTAAAAGAAGTATTCCAACATTTGTGGATAGAGACATGCTCCTGTACAATAAAAATAAAAACAACTAGAAAGTATGACAATCAATGACGGCATCTCTCAACACAGCCCAGCAACAAAAGATCGTCGACAATGAGCCAAGCAAGACATAAACCAAAGAAGAAAAGATGAACTGTTGCAGTCGGGCATTGACAAGGACAGTAGGGTGAACGTTTCAGTTTACACGCAAAACGCACGCTCGGGAAAAAACGCAGGCACGTTGCACGCTAAACGAACGCACGTTAAACGCAAGCTATACCAAGCGAAATACGCAAACGCACGCTAAACGATATACGCTAAACGATATACGCTTTCTCGAAACGCTTTGAAACGCACGCAAATGAAACGTTTCGTCCAAACGTTTAAAAACGTACAACAGCAATATTTTGCCTATCACATTCATATATAGCAATAAAGTTAAAGTAAATGAAAATAGTCTTGTTTGTTAAACATCAAGCATTTATATTTTCTGTTTTTTATTGATATAACAATTGATCTTTTTGTAAAAGGTTTAATTGGTCCTTTGAATTTCACACATTTACAATAATAGTAAAACCGGCCGTTAATTACCCTTCACAAATAAGAAAGATGTCTCTGAAAACAATGTCGAGGGGATATTAAGTCTTTTATCTGTGTATAATGCGCTTATTGCCATAATCTTTTGTAATGTTCTCAAGCTAAATTTACTAAACAACACGTAGAGTAGACTGTACTGTACCTTTTTAGTACATTTACGTTCCCAATTTGTTGATAGTTCTGCAAAAATTTTATCTGCTCCTTTTCACAGAATGTTTTAATTACAACAACTTTGCAGTTGAAGAGTAATTAAATCCTTGGCGTCTGTAAAATATATAATAAAATTTCTAATCTCCGGTGTGAATGACGCGCGTCGATGTATGGTGTTCACGATATCATCATAGGGTTACAAACTAGATAGAATGTTAGAGTTAACAACACTAAATTTATAATATTTATAGAAAAGATTTTACTTGAAAAAAAGAACTGTCAAATATTATCATATAAAGTTTACCATCAATTCGCTCAGACTATATATTTTAAACTAATAACAGACACAGACGCACGCTATTTAAACGTTCTGGATTAAACGATAAACGGACGCATACGCACGCAAAACGATAACAAACGCACGCTCTCAAACGCACGATCAACGAAAAACGATACACGGAAAACGATAAACGTTTAACGCTTGTAAACGATGCACGCTTGAGAAAGCGTTTCATCAAACGCACGTTGCACGATATACGCACGAACGTTACACGAAAAACGGACGCATGAAAAACGCTATTTTTGACAACCGAAACATTCATCATACTGTGCGTAGTTCAACTGCAAAACGGGCGTGTTCCAGGGAAGTTGCCAGAAGTTTTTGCCACTTTAGTAGCAAAAGCTAAATGCTGACTTTGGTATTTCTGTCGAAATAACACAAATACAAATCTTTTTTTTCTGTACACTGACGACTTTGTCTTTACAATGGAGGATACTTTTAATACTTCGTGTGAAAATGGAAAGATAAGATTTAATTCATTGACGTCTAAATGTATACATAAAGGTTGACATACAAGATTGGACATTTTTTCATAAATGTAATGATAACTCGGAAACTGTTTTCGAGTAAGTGTAATATTTAGTAAAAAACGTCACAAAATGTCACAAACATTCAGACACTTTATTTGAAACCATTGGAGAAGTATTGGTTCCTAATATTCTGCACAGCGTTTGTTAAGTGTTTTACAAGTGTTAGAATTTTTTTTAAATGTATACGGTTACAAAGATTATCAAACGTATATGTGAAATAAAGCATATGATGATAGCAATGGGGGTCTTGACATGAAAATATCAGGAAAAAAGCAAAATGCATTGTGATAGCTTTGAGGGGTCACTTTGTTTTTGATTTTCACAGAACATATCTAGTTTATTTAGTGTTGAAGGTTTCTTCAAGCCGATGCTAAGGGCATGAGCAATTTTCATTAACTCTCATAAACAGAATCGTACAAAACCAACTACATTTTGTATTTCATATTCACGTATCTGATTTTTTTATTTTTATTTTTTAATTTAGAAGTTAAAAAAGTGAGACATTGACATTCAATATAAAGATAAGTTGCATTTTAAAACAATATAGTAATAGTTCATTTTTTACGCCATTCCAAGAATTACTTCCTAAACTGCGGAAGAAAAAGAAATGGTTTTAGTAGCTTCTCTCTGACTTCAAAATATTTGGATGCATGTATATTGAATTCGTATTTAGTTTAAACTTTGATCCGTCTTCGTTGCCCTCTTTTCCTTAACTTTTCATGTTTAGTTTTGTGCCGAACTGAAACAAAAAAAGTAATAATTATACAAATGTAATAATAAGTATGAGAATTCTATTTCAAATTAATATATGTTTAATGATATTTTTTTCAATTGTTCAATTGTGATATTTGTACGTAATATTGCATTATTTTATAAATAGTTACGTTTTGATTAAAGTAGTGCCAACAATGTAATGTTATTATTTATATGCTAAGTCAATTAGTCTTTTCCTACAGACTATTCGACTAGATTTCAACAAACATTAAACTTAGCTTTATATAACTGATTGAGAGTTAGTAAACTGTTTTAAATTCTTAAGCTATTGGAAATATTCTACTACAATCCCGAAGGATGTGCATAAAATGTGTTCACAGTTACATTTTCTATGTTTATTTTGAAGTGTTGCTTTATGTTTAATGGTACATGCACACGCAACCGGCCAGTCTTTGATGTATGCATTTTCATTATTTTTGAATATCGGTATATCTGCAAAATATAAAAAAAAACAATAATTTTCAAAATATTTACTCATTTCGTTATTTCCATTTGAACAACAACAAAAAACAATATATAATTTCAAATCAAATATCTTGCAGATAATTGAAACAAACTTTGAACAAAATGAAAACAAATATTAAGAAAGAGGAGCACGACTACCAAAATGGAGCCTATCTGGGCACCATAGGCATAAAGGCGAAGTATGAACGTGGTGCCACCGCAAACAATTCAGTAAAAGAAATCATAGATAAACGAAAGAAGATAGACATTGCACCGAAACAAATGAACATACCTCTTCTTATTGGCTCACATGCTGTATACATATTTAGAATATTTGGAATCACTATATTTCCTGAGTTCAACCTGTATTGGCTGCTACATTAAGCCTTTGGAATAAATGCTGGGTTTCTGTATTTATCAAAATCCCAACTATCAGTCCATTGACATAAGGATCTGTCACAAAGTCCATGACATCTAATGTTCGAATCTCTTTTTCTACGGCTACTTTTTATATCTAGACCTATATCAGTCACTGGGATGATTTCCACTGGTACGATTCGAGTTTGGAACTTCCGATTCTGTAGACGTGTTTCTCTTTCCCAATATCTACCTCTGTAGTTTGTTTCATCATCACTAGTTGAGTTTATTTCTATTTTTCGTCTGTAAATTTTATATTTTCTTTGAACATACATATTCGCTTTTCTAGTAGTAAAATTATCAAAAACACTTATAGATGTATCTTTTGTGTTAAGATATACTTTCATAGCAGTTGTTTCAAATGTCTTTATAGATAATATTATCCACAAACTGTATAATGAAACAAAAATCATTTTTATCCCATCAAACATGTCTTAGAATCTTACATATGATCGATTTCTTCCTCAGTTTTATCTTTCCATCAGTAGCGATAACATCAAAACTCAAACCTAACAATTCGATATTTCGCTCTCAAGTTATTGTTTTAATTTGGTAACAGACGAGATTTATTCCCGAACAACATTTCAAACTTGAAAGCAATCTCCAAGTGTTATTTTCATTGAGCTAATTTAAAAAAATACCACAAGATAAACGAAGTAAATATTGTTGTATCCTGTTACGTAACTGTTAAACCTGTATGTAAACATTTAGAAGATCGTAGTTTGATATTCATCTAAACTCATTTAATCTTAATATAGCGTCGCGCACTGTGTGAATTAAATCAATCATAATCAAAGTCATTTAAAACAAGCGATGATGTCCTTGACATAAACATCCGACCCAGAGAAAAGGGCGTTGTAAATTAGATTCTCACTTACAAACACGTTGTCATCAAATTTATAATTTAAGTTGTAAAAAAATGGAAAAGGTAAAAACCCCGGAGAGTAAAGAAAACAAAGTTAAGAAGTGAAAATTACAGTGCAATGTTTGGTATATCATGTTAGTTTTATATGTAATGTATTGAAAAACATACATATAGAAATGTCAACGCTACATTTTGTTCACTAATAATACTACAGAAAAATAACAATGAAGTAATAGTTATAGAATATGAAACGAGTAAGTAACGGGTGTATATCAGTGGCTACGCCGACATCTAGGGATGTATCTGCAAAATAATGTCGAAGCCATTAGGCCGAGGTGATAGTTTGCAGAAACATCCCGAGTTGTCGCCCCAGCCACTGTTTTACCACCGTCACTTACGAGTTTCATACATTGTAAATGTTCTACCGCAATTTCATTATTTTTGTAACATAAGATCAGGTAGGTAGATAGATCTCATTGAGTAGAAGTGCATTGCATAAGAACCATAACTCTGCCTTGCCTTATTTTGGAGTTATTGCCCTTTGTTCATTTTTACACTGTTATCTTTATCCGGGACATAACTCTTACCTATAAGAGATATCAACAATAAACTGTGTAGGTAGATATATCTCATTGGGTAAATGTTCAATGAAAAATATCTGTAACTTTGCCTAGCCCAATTTTGGAGTAATTGCCTTTTGTTCATTTTTTAACTTCGTCCGGGACATTCCTCTGAAATCACAAGAGGTATCAACAAGAAGCTTTGTAGAAAGATAGATCTCATTGAGTAGATGTGCTTTGCAAAAGAAACGTAACTCTGCCTTGCCGAATTTTTGAGTTATTTCTTTTTGTTCATTTCTACACTGTGAACTTTGTCCGGGACATGCCCAAAACCTGTTTGGGTAGCATCACGAGGTTTAATCGGCTTTTTTCTATTATGAATGTGAAACCCCATGGCCCCTTTGATCCCCTTTGAACCTACGTAAAATACTCAATCGATATATAGCAGGTGCAAAAAAACACTGAACTGTTATATAGCAATCGAGTTTTATTCCCATATGAATCAAGTGAAAGACCTGTACTGTTACATATCAATACAGTTTTCAAATCCTAAATGGAAGTGTACAGATTATAATGGATTAGAAAAAACAAGCTCAAAGCCATGCGAAAAGGTATGCATAATGAAGTGAGGCGGATTAGGTATTGGCTAGTACCACCACTGACCAGTAGCAAGTCAATATATTTCATTCACAGTTCATGAAAAAAATAGCCATGAATATAAAGGTGAAGTCATTTTGCTCTATTTGTATAATAAAGTCAATAAAGTATATTTTATCAGATGTAATCTCTTTTCAAAAACTAGTTACCCCCATTCCACCAACACTCTGGACTATTTGTTGTTGCAAAGTTGCAAAAAAAGCTGAACTGCTATTTAAATAGTTGATACAAAATTGATATATTATTAGATTAGATTTATTTTCATTACTTGATATTTATTGCCTTAAAACTCATACACTCTTATATACTTCTATTTTTTGACAAAGAAAATTCTGTTGGACTGAAGTTTTGCACTGGAGGAAAATCAAAAATATAAACGATCAGTACTATTAATACTACCTAAACATTTTGTATTAGTGATATATGTGTATGAAATTTGAACGGATGACATTTGATTATGCAATAACACCTCTTCGTTGTCTTTGGAAACTAATAAAATAATGGTTTAAATGTAATCAAACTTGTACAGAAATCTGTATTATAAATTTTTAAGTTAAATTGATAGCTTGCACCTAGCAGCTAAATGTAATATTTTGTATTGTTTTAAATCGGCTAACGCATATTCAATATTGAAACAATTTATCAGAGTTTTCCTGTTTAATAATTTATGCCCCTTATAAATCGACAGCTCTTTTTCATTTATCCATGTGTAAATATTGTATTTGTACTTTTGCATATACAATGATGAATTTGCAGTGTATTTCACTATTTTGAGCATGTAACGTCTAACATTTAGACAAGATGTCATCATCCCCCCTCCGCCCCCCTTCCATCACGGAACTCGTATTACCTTCCTTCCGAAACTAAAAATGTCTTATACTATCTAGGTAAAAAAAATCTTATTCTTATCGGAGACCATAAGGGTCCGTGATACCTAATTCTGAACGACACCTTTCAAGCTAACAACTTCCTTAATCGGTTTATCTTTTGCATAAATTCACGGGGGCAATGAGTTGTTTATTTCGGTTTCTTGTTAACTGGCACATCCTTAATCATGACAAATGTAGATATTTGTGATGGCATACCTAAAAAACCCTTAATTGTTAAGTGTATAAAGGAAAATTTAACAAGCCTTTATGTTATCAATTGTCCGGGTGATGGCCTTTTCCCAATGCACATGATTTATCTTGGTAAAAGAATTATCGTGAGATTATTACTTTATTAATGGTGCAGTTTAAATTGTCAAAGAAAAGAAGTTATTGTGCATTTGATGAATTTCAAGTTTGTGATAGCAAACATGCAAACCAAGATTAAAGTGATTCATTCAAGCTGTTTTAGTTTTATGAAATATATGCCCAACCTTTGAGCATCAATATCTCGCAGAATGTTAGCTTAAACTTCAACTATGAAAATTATCCATAAGTTACACGTAAAGATGGAGCAACTTGTTCAAAGACTATATAGTAATCATTCCTGATGTGAATTTCAGCAGGATATCATTCCGCACTTGAGTAACAAAAACTAACTTTGAAGCAGATCTTAAAACT